CCACCTTGATTAGCATTTAATGGCCTGGCAGTGCCTGGGGCAATCTTTTGTTGAGAGGTGATTAGATGTCCTTGTTTGTTTCCTCTCTGTTGTTGTGCTGTTGTAATTTTTGAGGTTTTTTTTAATACTGGTAGCCAGATTTTGTTCATTTTCATGGTTTCCTCCTTTCTGTTGAAATTGTCCACATGCTTGTGGATTTCAATGGCTTCTCTGTGTAGTCTGACATGGTGGTTGTGAGAGTGGTCCAGCATTTCTGTGTTCTCAAATAATATGCTGTGTCCAGGTTGGTTCATCGTGTGCTCTGCTATGGCTGACTTCTCTGGTTGAAGTAGTCTGCAGTGCCTTTCATGTTCCTTGATGCGTGTTTGGGAGATGCTGCGTTTGGTGGTCCCTCTGTAGACTTGTCCACAGCTGCATGGAATACAGTAGACTCCTGCAGAAATGAGAGGATCCCTCTTGTCCTTTGCTGAACGTAGCATTTGTTGGATTTTCTTGGTGGGTCTGTAGGTGGTTTGTATGTTGTGTTTCCTCATCAGCTTCCCCATGCGGTCAGTGGTTCCCTTGATGTATGGCAAGAACACTTTTCCTCTGGGTGGATCTTCTTTATTTATACCCCCGCCAGCATCTCCCCAATGGGAACTCGGAGCGGCTTACATGGGGCCAAGCCCGGACAACATAAGGCTACGTTCTCACTTTAGTGGCAAGGTGAATTGGTGCCATCGACCATGACATGTTGCAACGTGTGTCACTACCTGGTACTACCTTTTAGAGGTGTGCCACGTGACTGGCGGCATCCATATTGAACATCTTTGAGCTCAACCTAAATATTTTCCCTTCCCATTGTTGTAGGTTCCATACGTGTGCATTCGCTTTTTGGCTGGAGTTACACTTACAAAAGTCCTTGTTCTGGCTCATATGCAATTTCGACTTGAGAACAAACCTTCCGTAGCCTCTCTGGTGTGTAATTTGAGCACTGCCTGAATCTAATTCCCTTCTTCCTTCATTCTCCCACGGACTGAGGAACATGCCCTCAATGTGCTGGCCTTGAAACATGGATCAATAATTTGAACGCTGAGCCTTGATTGTGGATCTGGGCTGACCTCAAGGCTGCCTTTCTTGGAAGGCTTCCGCCCTTCTTTGTTCAGTTTGCTTTGGGCATCACACCCGGCCATTGTGTTTCGCAGGAGTCGCGAAGTCGCTTGGCACCGGGGCACCAAGGAAAACCCTGCCCAAAATGTGCCTTTTTTCCAACTCCTTCTATTCTTTTCTATGCGTCTAATGCAGGGATCCTCAAACTTTTTAAACAGAGGGCCAGGTCACAGTCCCTCAAACTGTTGGATGGCCAGATTATAATTTGAAAAACACGAATGAATTCCTATGCACACTGCAAATACCTTATTTGTAGTGCAAAAAACACTTAAAAACAATACAATAACTAAAAGGAAGAATAATTTTAACAAATATAAATGTAATAGTATTTCAATGGGAAGTGTGGACCTGCTTTTGGCTGATGAGATAGGATTGTTGTTGTGTGCTTTCAAGTCGTTTCAGACTTAGGTTGACCCTGAGCAAGGGCCGAGTAAATGACCTTGGAGGGCCGTATCTGGCCCCCGGGCATTAGTTTGAGGACCCCTGATCTAACGCTTTAGCACCGGGATTGTGGCACAGCTGGCTGAGTGTCAGCTGCATTAAGATCGCTCTGACCAAAAGGTCATGAGTTCGAAGCCAGCCCGGGTTGGAGTGGGTTTCCAACCAATTGTGTGTAGCCTGTTGTCGACCTTTGCAACCCGAAAGACAGTTGCATCTGTCAAGTAGGAAAATTAGGTACCACCTTAAAGTGTGGGGAGGCTAAATTAACTAATTTATGAGGCCATAAAGAAGACTCCAGCAAAGCACTCCAGCAAAAGCATACGGGGAATGCGGAAGTACTTCATCAGTGTCGCAGATGGACGATGAAAGCGACAGCTTCCCTGGCGGACAGAAAAAGTTAAATAGCCTCTGTCTATGTCTGTATATAGGAGCCCCAGTGGCGCAGTGGGTTAAAGCACTGAGCTGCTGAGCTTGTTGATCGAAAGGTCGCAGGTTCGATTCCGGGGAGCGGCGTGAGCTTCCGCTGTCAGCCCTAGCTTCTGCCAACCTAGCAGTTCGAAAACATGCAAATGTGAGTAGATCAATAGGTACCGCTCTGGCGGGAAGGTAACGGCGCTCCATGCAGTCATGCCAGCCACATGACCTTGGAGGTGTCTACGGACAACGCTGGCTCTTCGGCTTAGAAATGGAGATGAGCACCACACCAGAGTCAGACATGACTGGACTTAATGTCAGGGGACTACCTTTACCTTTTATGTCTGTATATGTTGTATGTCAAAAATTGGCATTGAATGTTTGCCATATATGTGTACACTGTAATCCGCCCTGAGTCCCCTGCGGGGTGAGAAGGGCGGAATATGAAAAGCTGTAAATAAATAAATATAAATAAATGCATAAATGCATAGAACCCGAACCTGACCGCCTGTCCTGCAGTCGGTTTATTTATTTATTATTTATTTACAGTTCTTATATTCCGCCCTTCTCACCCCGCAGGGGACTCAGGGCGGATTACAGTAAACACATATATGGCAAACATTCAATGCCAGTTTGACAAACAACATTTAACAGACAAAGGCTATTTAACTTTTTCTGGCCGCCAGGGGAGCTGCTGCTTTTCATCGTCCATCAACGACACCGATGAAGTTCTTCCGCATTCCACATTCCCCGGAGTCTTCTTTCTTTATGGCCTCATAAATTAGTTAAATTTAGCCTCCCACACAAGGTGGTCCCTTATTTTCCTACTTGGCAGATGCAACTGTCTTTCGGGTTGCAAAGGTCGACAACGGGCTACACAATGGCTGGACACCCACTCCAGCCCGGGCTGGCTTCGAACTCATGACCTTTTGGTCAGAGTGATCTTAATGCAGCTGACACTCAGCCAGCTGCGCCACAATCCCGGTTTGCATGGAGAAAAGGCCTCCTTGGATCTCCTTTTCCTATCCTTCCAAGAGAAGAAGGAGGAGGAAACCTTTTTTGCAACCGTGTTTGAAACATGATTTCGAGGCACCCGCTTCCCCAAGAAAGAGGCCCAAAGGGAGGGAGAGAAGCCAGCTCTCTATTCCAGATGTTTGACTGCCTTTCCCATCAACAGACTGCCAAGGCTCATGGGAGTCGTTGTGGTGAGGAGGAGGGCCCACCCTCTTTGAGATGACTTTATTTATTTCCGAAGCAGCTGGAAAAGTTATATAAAGAGGAACAAGCACCAGCCACACCAGCAAGCAGCTCTTTCACCCTCGACGTGAGCCAGTGTTTCCTTTTGGAAAAGTCCCGATTTGCAGAACGGGAAGGTGCCGATATTCCGTCCAAAGAAGGGACTCCAAAACCAGTACCCTGTCCTTGAGGGACAGCGGTGGCGGCGCGCAACAAAACAGTGGCGCGTTCCACTTTATGGAGACTTTCTCTCGCTCTTCATTTCTGTGTGTTAACGGTTCCACCCAAAGGCAACAAAGCCCATGCCAAGAGTGAGGCCCGGCTACTTCCTCCGCACAGAAGAAAGAGAAGGAGAGACAGACAGAGAGAGAGGGAGGCCAGAAACCCACATTTATGCTTCCAGACAGCAGAGGAGGAGGAGGCCTCAGGCGTCCCCATTAGTCACCCGGACCATTTGTATTTATAGAAGCTGCAACTCAGCTGACCCGAGTGATTCAGCCGCCCGAGGAGCACATGCATGCCTCGGCTCCATCCGCAATACAGGCACGCTCTGTCCGTCTGCCCGTCTTTGAGGCTGAGGAAGGCAGTGGCCACCGTCCAAGCAACTTCCGGAGGAACAAGAAGCCAGTGGCCATGTCGGATGCCCTCTTGGCTCAAACCTAATGCTCACTTTTTGGGATCAAGTCGCAGGTTCGAATCCGGGGAGAGGTGGATGAGCTCCCTCTATCAGCTCCAGCTCCTCATGCGGGGACATGAGAGAAGCCTCCCCCAAGGATGATAAAACATCAAAACATCCAGGCGTTCCTTGGGCAACGTCCTTGCAGACGGCCAATTCTCTCACACCAGAAGCGACTTGCAGTTTCTCAAGTCGCTCCTGACACGACAAAAAAAGAAAAAACCTCTCCAAAATGAGGCAGGAAATAAATGTCGCCTTTATTGATATATGTTGGCTCTGGGTCTCCGTCATTCAGGCAGAGTGGTTGGTTGGGATGGGGCAGAGCAGAGGGCCACCCACTCAGTCTAGTCAGCAAGGGAGCTGCGGACATTCATCTTCCCCGAGCAAATTTATTATTATTATTATTTACTTCATTTGTATACCGCCATTCTCAGCCCTAAGGCGACTCATAGCGGTTTACAACAAGCAAAAACAAGACGAACAATCAAGGCAAAAATTCAATGCGGCATCAACAAGGTACTTAAAAACAGTTAACACAGAAACAAATTAAACAATTTAACAGTAATAAACATTCAGTGGCGTCTCATAACTAGAATCATGATCCAAACTCGTCAGTCATAGTTCCATTTCCTGAAAATTCATTGCACTGCTTATTCAAACGCCTGTTCAAATAACCAGGTTTTCACTTTCCTCCGGAATACCATCAATGAGGGGGCCAATCTGATGTCCGTGGGAAGGGTGTTCCACAGCCGAGGGGCCACCACCGAGAAGGCCCTGTCTCTCGTCCCCGCCAGCCGCGCCTGTGTTGCAGGCGGGATCGAGAGCAGGGCCTCCCCGGAAGATCTCAAAGTCCTAGTGGGTTCGTAGGTGGAGATGCGATCGGATAGGTAACTTGGGCCAGAACCGTTTAGGGCTTTATAGGCCAAAGCCAGCACTTTGAATTGAGCCCGGTAGCAAATCGGCAGCCAGTGGAGCTCCTGGAAGGAAGAGCTTGGCTGGGACCCCCCCCCCCCCCACTTTGGGTGAAGAAAGTGCCTCCTCCTCTTATTATTTGGCTTCTTTGTCCACATCCCAGTGTTTCTCCTCAACGTCCTCTTCTCCAAAATGTCATCCTCCGCCTCCTCTCCCCTCCTTCGACCTCTTCTTCCTCACCATGAGCTTCCGGCAAGGCGGCAATTTCGGTGTTCTCAATGTGATGCTCCCACATGGCTTTGTGTGCAGTGTTGCCTGGAGGCCGCATGCAGGCACAGAGGGGACCATCTACCCATTGCTTGGTGGAGAGAGCTTCGGTGGCCACCTCATTGCTCAGTCCAGGCTTTGCAAACATCCCAGGCACACCACAGAGGCTCAGGTTTGCCATGCTTGGTGTCCGGACACTGCAGTTTGAGCAAGGCCTGGATTGGAATCTGGCTAGCCAAGTAACCCACAGATATGTAGATAGATACTAGACCGGATCTGCTGCTTCCTATCAACCAGGGAAGGAAATATGAGCCTAGGGCAGTCACACAGTTAGGCAGCGCATTAGATTTGCGTTGTATGGTGATAGTCTTAGTGCTGAGCCCCAGCCAAAAGGGAAGCTGCTTCAGGAGTTCCTCCTTGAGAACACCGGGATTGTGGCGCAGCTGGCTGAGTGTCAGCTGCATTAAGATCACTCTGACCAAAAGGTCATGAGTTCGAAGCCAGCCCGGGTTGGAGTGGGTTTCCAACCATTGTGTAGCCTGTTGTCGACCTTTGCAACCCGAAAGACAGTTGCATCTGTCAAGTAGGAAAATAGGTACCACCTTAAAGTGTGGGGAGGCTAAATTAACTGATTTATGAGGCCATAAAAAAAGACTCCAGCAAAGCACTCCAGAAAAAGCATGCGGGGAATGCGGAAGTACTTCATCAGTGTCGCAGATGGACGATGAAAGCGACAGCTCCCTTGGCGACCAGAAAAAGTTAAAATAGCTTCTGTTTATGTCTGCATATGTTGTATTACTACACAATATCCCAGAATACTTGTAAGATATCAGCACAAACACAAAACAATCTATGCATAATGTCAAAGTGTATTATCAAAAAAACATATAATATTCTATTTACCAAAATCCCCAGCACATAGCTCAATTCAGTGGTACACAGAAATCAAAAGGAGCAACCGCTCTCAAACGTAACAGTTCTGGGTCTGGATAGGGATTCCACTGTATATAGGCTGAATGGAGCACTGCTTCTCAAAATAAGTCTCTGTAGGAAAAGTCCGAATGGCATTCAACAGGGGTGCTCGGGTATTTTTGTACCCTGTTTCGGGGAAAGCAGTCCCCTTCCTCAGGAGTTGATAAATTCAGCAACTCTAGACTCTTATATCATGCCAGGTAGCTTATACAAAAAGTGATTGCTTTCCCTGAAACAGGGTACAAAAATACCCGGGCACCCCTGTTGAATGCCATTGGGACTTTTCTTTGAAGACTTATTTTGAGAAGCAGTGCTCCATTTTTCACTGGACTTGAGTTGGATCTTTTCCATGAAGATTGTTTTGAGAGTGGCGCTTCATCTCATTATTGTCTTCAGTTTACATATAGCCTCATGACTCAATGCTTACTTTGTTTATATGACTTTTCTCATTGAATGTATCCCTGAAGCCTATATACAGTGGAATCCCTATCCAGACCCAGAACTGTTACGTTTGAGAGCGGTTGCTCCTTTTGATTTCTGTGTACCACTGAATTGAGCTATGTGCTGGGGATTTTGGTAAATAGAATATTATATGTTTTTTTGATAATACACTTTGACATTACACATGGATTGTTTTGTGTTTGTGCTGCATATGTTGTATGTCAAAATTTGCATTGAATGTTTGCCATATATGTGTACACTGTTATCCGCCCTGAGTCCCCTGCGGGGTGAGAAGGGCGGAATATAAAAGCTGAAATCAATCAATCAATCAATCAATAAACATCATCTCTCATTTAATGGATTAATGCTATGCAATGCTGCGATTTGTAGTTGGGGAAGGCACCCGCACTCTGGCAGAGGAGGCGCAAGGCCTTGTCGAATGACAACCCCCAGGCAGAGGCGGCCCTAGGTAATTTTCAAAGGTAAGCAAACAGTATTTTGCCCCCCCCCCCACACACACACCAATCATTGATATATATTTTCTGTTCGTCGTGGGAGTTCTGTGTCCCATATTTGGTTCAATTCCATCATTGGTGGAGTTCAGAATGCTCTTTGATTGTAGGTGAACTATACATCCCAGTAACTACACTTGCCTCACTTGCTCCCTTGCCCGTTGCCTGGGCCGCTTTGGGTCCGGAGGTGTGCCTGAAGACCCCGGCATGTGCACCAAAAGTCACCTCTTCTCCTGACTTTCTCCTCAGCCATTGGGACCAAGAGAGAGAGAGAGAGAGAGAGGTGGAGATGCCCACCTTTCCTGAAGGTAGGCACAAAAACAAAGGAGGGAGTGGAGGTGGGAGATACCTCCAGCCAGAGGGGCTCTCTCTCTCTCTCTTGGTCCCAATGGCTGAAGAGAAAGTCAGGAGAAGAGGCGAGTTTTGGTGCACATGCTGGGGTCTTCAGACATGCCTCCGGACCCGAAGCGGGCCAGACACCGCAGCTCCGCCCCTTGGCCCACCCGCAGATTGGGGAGAGGAGAGGAGGCGGGTGGAGCGTCGGGGGATCGGGAAAGGAAGCCGGTCATGGGGAAGGGATCGAACGCAGAGAACGATTGAGCACCGGCTCTGCTCGCGCACCCGGTGGCCAGGTGGAGCAGGAACGAGAGGGGCTAGGCGAGGCTCAAGGGCCCGGCCCCTTTGGGAAGAGGATCGCCCGGCAGCGAGGCAAGAAAGCCGAGGCTCCCCCCGGACTGCTAGGGCTGTTGTGAGCTGAGGGGGCGCTCCTCAAGTGGCGGTCGAGGGGCATTTACAGAGGCGCCTCTGCACCCCTGGCAAAAAAAAGTGTTCTGCGACCGCTTACTTCGCGTAATGGACGAGCCGCCCCTGCCCCCAGGATTCCATAGCATTGCACATTGAAGAAGGAGACAGAAGGCCTGATTCCTGCAGCCCAGGAGCAAGCCATCAGAACAAATGCCATTAAGGCCAGGATTGCAAAATCAGCTCTTTGTATTGTTATTTTTTTTTTTGTCATGTCAGGAGTGGCCTGAGAAACTGCAAGTCGCTCCTGGTGTGAGAGAATTGGCCGTCTGCAAGGACGTTGCCCAGGAGACACCCGGATGATTTGATGTTTTTATCATCCTTGTGGGAGGCGTCTCTCATGTCCCCGCATGAGGAGCTGGAGCTGATAGAGGGATCTCATCCGCCTCTCCCCGTTCGCAATGGTTGTTCCGACGGGTGGTGGCCAATTGAAATTTGAACCTGTGGCAGGATTTTTCTCAGCAAAAAGAGCTCAGAGGGCCTCTCCCTGAAGCTGAGAGAGTATGACTTGCCTAGAGGCTTCCCATTCGCTGAGCAGGGTTTCCAACCCTCACACTGGGGAGCCTGTTTCTCAAATTTTCACCCTCCGAAGGAACTTTTCTCTCTCTTTCTCCAGGAAGACGCTGCAGAAAGGTCACAGCTGTCGGCAAAAAGCAATACGGCTGAAGCAGCAGCAGCAAGACTTGCAAAGGTAAAGCCCATCAAAGAAGCGTGATGAAGGACGTGAAGGTGAAGCCGCGAGAACCGCTCCCATGGCTCGGGAATGCCATGCGCCAGGGGAATGATTGCCTGTCTTCCCAAAAAGGGTGCTGTATTGAAGAAAGGAAAGCATGCAAGCCAGATGTGTGTGTGGGGTGTGTGTGTGTGTATTATTAGTATTATTATTCTGCAGCAGCAGCAGATCTAACGGTGACAGGGATTGCAAACAGAGCTGCGCCAGCAGATTGAGGATGCAAGGGAAGCAAAACCACTCTGAGTCACCAGTTGAAAGGCATTCCAGTGCAGCAGCAGCAGCCACCGAGGGGGCGTCTGCACTGGGAAAGGATGCCGTTTGCCCCGCTTGGACTGCCATAGCTCCATGCCACGGAATCATGCGATTTGTAATTTGGTAGATTCACCTCAAGATCAAGCAAAAAGTGGGCGCTAGAAACAATATCATACGAAAGCTGACTGGCACAACCTGGGGATCACAACCAGACACAGTGAAGACATCTGCCCTTGTGCTATGCTACTCTGCTGCTAAGTATGCATGCCCAGTGTGGAACACATCTCACCACGCTAAAACAGTAGATGTGGCTCTTAATGAGACATGCCGCATTATCACGGGGTGTCTGCGCCCTACACCACTGGAGAAATTACACTGTTTAGCTGGTATTGCACCACCTGACATCCGCCGGGAAGTAGCAGCCAATAGTGAAAGGACCAAGGCAGTGACATCTCCAGCTCATCCCTTGTTTGGGTATCAGCCAGCACGCCAATGACTTAAATCAAGAAATAGTTTTCTAAGATCTACAGAGACACTTGCTGGAACACCTCAGCAAGCGAGAGTCCAAAAGTGGCAGGCTCAAACCCAGAACCTCAATCAATGGCTGATACCAAATGAGAGACTCCCCCCTGGGCACACAGAAGACTGGGCGACTTGGAAGGCGCTGAACAGACTGCGCTCTGGCACCACGAGATGCAGAGCCAACCTTAAGAAATGGGGCTACAAGTGGAATCCACGACATGCGAGTGTGGAGAAGAGCAAACCACTGACCACCTGCTGCAATGCAACCTGAGCCCTGCTACATGCACAATGGAGGACCTCTTGCGGCAACACCAGAGGCACTCCAAGTGGCCAGCTACTGGTCAAAGGACATTTAATCAACTACCAAGCTTGCAAACTTTGTGTTTTGTATTTTTTGTTTGTTAAAAACTGCAATACAACTGTTTGGTTTGCTTCTGACACGATAAATAAAATATAAATAACCCCAAGATGATGTTGGTGGTGATGATATTGATGCTAATACTGATGATAAGAGCATTTGATCCCAATGGCATGAATCCACTTTGACCCCACTTGAACTGCCATGGCTCCATGCTGTGAAATTACAGGACTTGTAGTTTGGTAGATGCACCCCAAGACAGTCAAAGATGATGATGATTATGATAACATTCAACATTGTAGAATGGATGCTGTTTGACCCCGCTTGGATTGCCATAGCTCTATGCCATAAAACTATGGAATTTCTAGTTTCAAAGCACTCCAAGGTTATGATGAGAAGTATGAGAACATTTGATCATGTGGAAGGAATGCTGTTTGACCCCATTTGGGCTGCGGTGGCCCCATGCCTCGGAATTACGGGATTTGTAGTTTGGAAGATGCACCCTGAGATGCTGGTGATAAGAATGTTTGATCATGTGGAAGGAATGCTGTCTGGCTCGCTGCTACAGAATCGTAGGAGGTTTGACTAGGTCGCAAACTACAACTC